AGTGGTGTGTCGAGTGTACTGATCATGCGATGTCCTCTTGGTTGGGTAGGATACTTGAATAGATTTGGTTATCTAAGATGACATATGGTATTGTCTTGGAGTTATTGAAATATTCTAGTGGTTCTACATGTACCACTTTTCTTGGAAATTTATATGATTGAAATATTCTAGTGGTTCTACATGTACCACTTTTCTTGGAAATTTATATGAGCACTACCATTAATATTTACAGTTGTCGGACATTCTTAATATTAATCTACTTATTGAGTTCATTTCTAATTATGTGTGATTGAATGTGAGGACCATTGAGTCTAGTTTTGTTATTCTTAAAGTTTGTTTATAATAGCTACTAATCTATCATTTTGACAATGTAGTTAGAGGTTATGTATGCTTCGGTGTAATGCTCGATGGGTGGTTACTTGATTCTTCTTTTTTTTTTTAATTTTTCTTTGGATTAGATAAGTTTGATTCTCCCTTGATGAGTACCTGATGTCTAAAGATTATATTTTTATAACTTAAGCTCGTGAAAAGTTTATGTTATGAGAAGACAATATTGATAAGATTTATTATGATGTGTGCACTATGAGTGTGTGGGGTTATTTTCAAGTTCACTACTTATTATAGCCCGTATTAATTTTGACATTTTATCAATGGTTATTTGAGAAAACATTTCACCAAATGGTTATGCCAAGGTTCTTGAGAACATGTTGAGGATTGAATACGATTAACTTTGGTGGTTAGTGAAAATTATTTTGTTGTTAATCGAGTTTAAATACAATAATACTTATCATTAGAGTATTAAGATGACCCCATTTGAGGCATAGTATGAAAGCAGGTGTAGATCTCCAATTGGTTGGTTGATTCATTTGATACAAGATCTTGGGTACTAATAATTTGAAGGAATTGTTGAGACAACTATTCCTTCTTACGCTCACCTTTTTTGATGGTTCGAGGACGAAAGATGGGTAAATTGGTATTTAATGTAACAACCCATTTGGTTGTTTTAAGTACTAGAGCTTTTTATTTGATAAAATATTTTTCGATAGATTCTAAATTGGTGTTTTAGACTATTCATAATTATAATTATGAAATTAGTGAAATAATTTTAATAATTTATTTAGTTTATGATTGAAGAAAATAATATTACAATTAGTAGTGAGTCATTTTCACTATTTTTATATCAAGCAAATATAATAATTAGGGTACTAAAAAATTCGTAGAAGAAAGAAAGAGGAAGTAGGCGTTCGGCATCAAAAAAATGACTACCTTCAGGTAAGAGGTGACGAACTTTAATATTATCCTATACATATTGATTGGTGATAGGAATGCATATTATTATACTGTAGTAATAATTGTATTTAATTTCAACCAATGGCTTATAACTTAGTGCTATTTAGATATGGCAAAATGTAATAAAATTATAATTAAAAAAATTAAAGATTGAGGTGTTAACTGATGTTAAGAAATCAATCATATATTATTATACAATATTAGTAGTGTACTGTTGAAATTGAGGAATAGATTATGTTAGTGCAACCATTGATTTTGTGCATTATGACACATAAGGATCAGTTTAGTTTAGGTTTCATGCAGTATCGCTATTGATTTGGTAATCAGTGGCTTTAAAATTTAAATGTTTATCATTTTTTTTTACTCATCACATTATAATTTAAATTTTAACATATTGAGATAGTTAATTAAATATTAATGTATGATATAATATATATGAATTTCATTAGAGTTATATTATTTGGAGTAGTTAAAACTTAACCCTATATTTAGAAGTCGTTTGGTACAAAGATCATTATTGCAGGGATTAGTAATGCATGAATTAGTAATGCAGGAATTAGTACTGCAGGGAATATTTTTATCAAGTGTTTCGTTTATTATTTCTTACCTAATTTTGTGTGTGGTTTAAAAGTTTACGAAAAAATTTCTTTCCAATTATATCCTAGAGTTATTATGAGATTTTCTATTTCATGTAATTGAGTCAAGGTAGATAATTAATGAAGAATATTACTTTTTATTACATTTTTAACTTGCTAGGAAATAGAAATTTTATTGTCATGTTCAATATTTTTCACTTAAATTATTTGAGAATGAATAATTGTCATCTTAATAAATTGAAGTTAATATCTCAAAAGGTCACACAACTATAATGATTTATAGAGAAAATTTATAGAACTTTGTTTGTATGAATAAATTTTAAAAAGACTCTTTATCATAAATAAAATAAAAAAAAAATAAACACAGCAAAATAATTTATACTATTTTTATACTCGAGACGAGATGTGTGTGTGTGGGTGTATACACTTTTCTTTCAGACTACTTGTGTAATTTTAGTGGACTTTCCATTAGAGACAATATTTTATTTATGAATTTTTCTTAAATTCATATATCAACATTAGCATATTAGTCGGATTATAATATTTTATAATAATAATTAGTAGATTAAATAATTCATATTTTAAAAACAAAAAATTTATGTCTAAACAATAATTTTGTAAGCTAATTTATTTAAATAAATTTATTAGTATAAATATAAAATATAAAATCAAAAAAAATAAACAAGATGATTAAAAGGATTTAAGGGGGTATTTTTGTCTTTTCCTAGATTAGTCCCATGGTATTAGAGCTAATACCACCAAATGGAAGGTATTAGTTATATACCCTCTAATACCATGTGGGGTGTATAACTAATCCATGGATTGACCCAAAATTCATACCAAACATAGTATTAAATAATATCACACATAATACTTGGACTATTTCTACTAATTACTCCCTACCAAACGACCCCTTAAAGTTTAAGAAATAGGATACTTACATATTAATTGACCTCAAGAGTTTAAAATCTATTACAAATTTGAGTGGGTTATTGAGTTTACACTATATAGTAATATGAGTGTCTCGTTTGCTTATAATTATTTTTTTACGTGATAGATTGAAAACGTTCAAAGGCATTAAAGAAAAGAAAAGGTTTGTGGAATTAGCTTGCTTGACTTCAGTTCTTCGCTGGAGGTAGGTTATAGTTTATGCTATTTGATAGTAAACTCGTAATAGTGATTGATATGCATTGAATGATATTGTGAAGTTCTCTATGTACTTGATTGTGTGATTAGGTGGCTTGGTTGTGTGTTTTGTGATTGGTCTGAAATCCTGCTACCGTGAATCTTATAATCTTGAACCTCTTTATCTAAGTGATACCTTGAATAAAGAAGGCTTGATGAAATAATATAACAATGAATTGAAAGTGGTGATAATAAAAGATAAATTAACGGTATTCCTAGATTGGAGTGTCATGTTCCGACACACTATTCTTAGATTGCAGTGTCATGTTCAAACACAGTATTCATGGATTCGAGTATCACATTCCAACATGGTATAATTGGATTGGATTGTCACGTTCCGAGATGGTATAATTGGATCGAATGTAACTTTCCGACACGGTATAATTGGATGGGAGTATCACGTCCGACACAATAACATTAAAGGAAAAAGATATTGAATTAATTTAATGTACTCAATCTCAAAGAAACCATTCCCCACCGAATGTGGTGTGGAGGCATGAGTCCTCGTGTGTTCTTGATATTGTGATTGATTACGTACTTGCTTTAGTTGTCACTTGTTCATGTTGTTTGTTGCTTATCACTTACTAAGTACTATAGTTGATTTTATACTATTATTCTTTGTATATTAGTTACTATTTTGGGTTTGTCAATGGTACTTACTCAGTACTTGTTGCCTCGTACTGAGCCATACTTGTATTTTTCTTTGTTTTCCTTATATGGAGTGCAACAAGTGTACCGACGAATTTGAATCGCCCTCAGCTCTATCAAGTCTCGGCATATCAGGTTAAGGGTGAGCTATTTATTCGAGCTTTGAGTTGGATTTTCTCAATCATTACCTAATGTCCTTAGTTTTTGGACATAAGCTACTTTATTTTATTTATTTTGGTGTCTTTGATACTCTTAGACTTGGTAATTGGAGATTATATATCCTTGTTGTGATGACTTTCAGGTTTTGGAAAAATATATTTAGTAAGTTTTTGAGCTTTCACATTATGCTTGTAGTTTGTAAGTTGGGGTTCAATTCGTTGGTTCTCCCACCTGGGGATTAATTGTGGATGTCACTCACGACTCGTTTTGGGTCGTGACATGATTATAGTATTCAGGTTGGCCAGACACCTTAGATTGATATTGTATCTTCTTGACATATTTGCAATTTTGCATCTAATGTTTTTTCAAGTCTAGGATCTATCGGAAACAGTTTTTCTACCCTAGGGGTAGGATCATTATATAGCCAACCCTCCCCAAACCCCATTTTATTGATTATATTTTGTATGATGTTGTTAAGTTTTAGCTCAGAAATTTACTTTAATTCCCGTACATGTCTATCTATGAGGCAATCAGAGTACTCTTTGATATTTGTTACTTTGTTTTTCTTCTATGAATATGGAAATATTCTCTATTGAATAAGAATAAGCTTATAAGTTATGAGTATTGCTTTTTTCTTGTGGACAAGACCTTTTTGTTCAGTTTTAATTACTACGTAAATATCCAAAGAAATGTTTTAAATTTTTGTTAAGTTGCTACTACGTACTACTTTGCTTGTATATACAGTTGGTGCTTGGTTTCTCTTTGTGCCTCTTCTAATATCTTTTTATTATTTAAAGAATTTTATTTTCTATAAAAATAAAAAAGAAAAGACACCATAAATAATTTAATAATTTAGTTCTCTATATATCAACATTGTCGCTATGAATTTCTGTGCTTGAGGGTTGCAGAAGTACTTCTCTGGTTCTCTCATCTGTTAAAACAGATATGAATACCAAGATTTACTCCTAACTAACCCAAATAACGCTATTAAAATTTTTTTTCATCTCACTTGACATCAATGTATAATGTGGTTATGATGACACTTGTGATGTACTTTACTTATCCAATATGTATGGCCACTTTTGCAGCATAACAGAACAACTGCAACCACTTAAGGTATCAACATATGTGTAGTGTAACTTTAGTTGATTTGCTTGTACATATCCCCTTGTTTTTCATAATTCACTGAAGTAGCATATTAGATTGCTGACCATGGAGATTTTACCTGACAAAAGAAAAATCTTCTTAAGATTTGTACTACTCGCTATGAAGTATCTGCAATGTCTCGGTGCTAATGGAGAATTATAAGATGGAAAAAAGGTTCTTTTTTGCTAAAGGTTGTCATTTCCAATAAATTTTTCTCCTCCTATAATTTGTTTAATGATTCTTTTTGTTTCCTTCAGGGGGAAGGAGGTTTAGTTTGTTGTTTGAGCATTATTTTCATCGTGGTGTTAGCATTCCGCCAAATGAACTTCCATGTTTCCCCAACTTTTGTGAGCTTTTCTCTTTTAGTTTGTTTTCTCTAGAATTGTCAGCAAAGTTAAATAGGCAAATCGATAGCTGAAATTAAATTTGTCTCAACAAGTACGTATAGAAAAAGACTACATGAATTTGGTCCTTTTGAAACATTATTGCTGCAAAGTTTGTTCATTTTGTTCTGATTCTTATCTGTCTCATATTGTATTGAAGAAAACTCTCTCACGGCTAGTGAGGAAGCATAATCATGAGAATTGTTAAAGAGTTGAATTGTGACTTTGTTCTAGCGTTTCAATTTCCTTTAGTTTTTTTTTTCCAAAAAGGGACTTGTACTCCAGATTTGAATGAAAGTTTAGTACTTCTTTTAAGAGTGATAGGCTCTCATTTGGTGAATGTTTTTGGATAGTTTATCAGTAGATATTTTCCCACTAAGCATGTTCGTTAAATTTAAATTTTGAGTTTGAGTGAAAAACTATTTTGCCTGTGCGTGCATTTCTTTTTGCTTATTGCTCTAAGCTCACTAGATATCTATATTTGCTTACAACTTAATTTATTTAATTTTTAAAATATAAATAAATTTTTGGTGTTCTCTTTCCACTTGGTATATTTAACGGTGCCCACAATGATATAGGTTCGGATCATTGACATTTAAAGCCCCTAATGTAAGATATTCATCCATAGATTTGACTTACATTGCATACGTATATCTGCCTCTCCAAGACAAAGGAGAAAATAAAGCAGAAAACCTACCCGATGTAATTTGTTTCTAGAGAATAGATGTGTTTAGTCGGGCTCTTTGTCTGCATTTGCATTTAGCTTCTCATTCATTACCGAAGTATCATTTGATATCAACGTATATTTGCACTAGAAAGCTATAGATTTCTTACTCTCTATTGTGAAATATTTGATATTCGGTACCAGGTAATGGCTAATAGCCAAATTTGCATGCAAAATTTTATATCCTTCGCAAGTGGATTGATAATCTAGCATGAGTGGAGTATCTGACGGTAGATGCATATGACTGGAGTGAAGACGTTTATAATGTACATGTGTTGTCTTAAAATTGAAAAGAAGTGTTGGATGCACATGTTTATTTTACTGCTATCATTTCACATACTTAATTATGCAAAAAATATAAAGTTGGAAGGTATGACTTATTTGTATTTTCATTTGAATTGATGTTGTGAAGTTTGTTATGACGTAGTATTATTTTTATGACCTTCGCTTCGATATTAGAGAGAATTAACTCAACACGTGGTATTTTGCAATCATTTTGATAATGAGGAAGAAAATGATGTGATGAGCTTGAGCTTGATCAAGGGAAGATGGAAATGGTTGTCGATGATTGTTTGGAGAGGGAAGATGGAAGTGGTTGTTGAAGGTATGTTTAGAGAATTCTGCTTCTCCAAAAGTTAATCACATCTTGTGGAGTACAATCACAGCTTCTTCATTATTTGTTACAACATTTCTTGAATTTTGATTGAGATGGTAAGAAAAGTCGTTTTTGTAGTAATGCTAGTTACTTTATAATGTATCGATTCGCGATTATGTAGCATAACATAAATGATCAGTACTTGAAGAATAGCGACTGAATGTGCTTTATATGTAGATATTTTGAAGTGCACTTTTGATATCTGCACCATGATATTTAATTGCTCATTTATGTTCGATAAGCCTTGAACAGGGATACTAAATTGTGAATGTTTGACCAACATACTGTTGAATTTATTGTTGAGCCTTGAATGAAAAATGATATCGCACGTTGCTTGTTTCGTGTTTGACTTAGATTCTTTTATTTTTATTATGCAAGTTAAAAAATATGATTTGACTTAGATTCTTTTATTTTAATCCTACAAGTTAAAAATATGATTCGTTACTAGATAATGTACGTTGTGTTTTTGAAATTATGATTATTTAAAAGTGTTTATTGCTACATTAGGTCTTAAACATATGTCCTAGGTAGATCAAACATAATAAAATCGTATCAAAATCTAAAATTGTTAGGGCCCGTGCTAAGCATGGGCAAGACCCATCTAGTTTTTTTTATAAATATATTTTTTTTCTATTATATAGAAGAGGGAAGTGGGATGACGATCAAGGGCAAAAATATAATTTCAGTCTAACAAAATCCTATGAAGAAAGATAATAAATAATTCTAAAATTATCTTTCTATACATGGAGTGAATAATGATCAATGGCAAAAATTTAATTTCATGCAAACAAAAATCTACCAAGAAATCATATAGTTTTAGAAACATCTTAAGTTATTGTTATTACCATTAACTTATTTTGTTATTACTTTATTTCTTTCTTATTTCTTTTGTGAGTTATTATGATATATATTTTATTATTACTCTATTTTACTATTACTTTAATTTAATTCTTGTTTTTTTTTCTATTCATTATGCTTATAAAAAAGCCTAGTTTTTACATAAAAATATTATGAATTAATTATTTCATTCTTTATGTTGATCTAATTAATATACTTGAAAATAAATTAGTGTGATAAAATTAAAAATATATATTATATTGAAATTAATGAAAAATAAGTTAAAAGTAACTTTACAAATAAAAATGAATATGATGATATATTAGTATTAAAGATGACCACGAATAAAAATGTAATTTTATTCTAACAAAAATCTATCAAGAATAAGTAATTTTACAAACATCTTTCTATATATGAAGTGAATGATGATCAAAGGTAATAATTTAACTCATCCAAGCAAAAATCTACCAAGAATGATAACAAGAAAAATATTCTAGAAACATCTTTAGGTATTATTATTAGTATTATCTCATTTTTGTTATTTCTTCATTTTTTATGAGTTATTGTGATGTTTATTTATTATATGAAAGTTAATAAATAATGATTACACTTAGCTCTTAATAATTATATATCAAGTATAATATTAGGTGGAACCAATCAAAATTAAAATTAAAATTTATATGTACATTAAATTTTGTGTATTGAAATATTTTTTAATTTTATGATTTTTAATATACTATATAAAAAGATTAAAATTCAGAAGTTATTTTCTTTTTGAAATGAAATAAAAAACAAGTTCATATAAATAAAAAAGGAGAGAGTCATATATTGAAAATGAAATATATATGTGTTATTATTGAAATGAGCTTTCATATATTATTATTTTTTTAAAAAAAATAGTTTGGCTTCCTTCTATTAAGTTGTGCATATATGTGGAGTTTTAAAGATTTGAACATTTTAATTTAGAATTTATAATGATCTGAAAACTTTAATTCTTCGTTTTACTTTCTACTTTGACACATGTTTGAAAATTACATAAAAAAGAAGAAGCTTATAAACGTCATGTAACAATTTAAGATATTTTTAAAAAAATATATTTATAAAACGTAATGCAATTTGGTTGATTCCCTTATTTTTATCGAAACAAAAAAAGTTGCATATATTATTTGAAGATAACGTAAGAACTAAAAGTTACTATGAATCACAGTAAAATAATAACTAAAAATATGTGAGAATCCTATAAGAAATTTCGTTTACTATTCTAAAATCACTTATATCACATAAAATAAAACAGATGGAGCAACATATATTATTCGAAAATAACATAAAAGGTACTCCACAAATTAACAATTTAAAATATTTTTTAAAAAACACATAAAAAAAATTAGTTTACCTTTTTAAATTTCATTTGTTTCACATAAATTGAAGGAAAAAAACTAATATATGTTGGGCCTGCGCTGGGTGGGCACATGATATCTAGTACTTTATAGAACAGCCTAACACATGAACGACCACTTCATCACATTTTTGTACCAACAGCAGTCAAATATGTACAAAAAATGCTTATTAATTTTTTGTCCTTTCTGATTGAATATTTAATTTAAATAAAATAAATAAAAAAGGGGAAGATAGGAAAAGTGGTTTTTGGTAAGAGGAAATACAACTATAAATTGGACATGCGTCATAAAGAAAAGACACACTAATTTACAAAATAACAGATGAAGTGGTATAGGACTGTAGGCTACTATTTTCACTATTCCTCATTTTCTTTTTTTCCTACAAATGTTCCTCTTTTCTCCTTCTCTCTCTCTTAATTAATATAATAAAAAAACAAAACTTATAAATGTAACATACAAAATGGCAACTTTTCTCAACCTTCACCTTAAAATCACCAAACCCCCCTAAAATCAAACAAATAATCAACGCCTCACTTCCTTAAATTCACTCACAAAGAAGGAAATACATATAGGGGCAACAAAAATTTCCAAAAAATATTATATCCAACCCACTTCTCCAATACTTAATTTTTCAACAATCCCAGATAATTAAAAACATAAAATAGCTCATATCCAACTGGAAAAAAATCAAGATAATATGACATTCAAAGTCCCAAAAAACGCTGAACTTTGATTAAGATCACATGCTTTGTTGTCTTGATTTTACAAAGGAAAAACTTGGAAGCACCAAACACTGTGGAAAGTAAGCTGGAATCAGATAATCCCACTTCAAAAAAAAGTGCAACCCCCAAACATTGTTTGCTCCCCTAAAGATATTGAAATCTCAAAAAAAGAGTCAAGTATTGTGAGTGTTGACCGGTTCTTGGCTTCTCACAATAATAACGTAGGGATGAAGAGAGGATAGCAGGAACTGAAACGACACCGCAAGGACGAGTTGAATATTAACAATACAAAATATCTTTATGTAGAAATTTTCATCCAATCTTTGAACAACTCTTCATCTTCTCCTCTTCTCAACAGAGATAGTCCAAGTTCAAGTTTGTGTAGTCTCCTGTTGTTTAAATTACATGTAAGTTGTTCATAATTTTTTTGGTCTTTCTCTTATATATATATATATAAGAAGTAATATATCTTTTGTCCTTTCTGATTCATATAGCTATCTGTTACGAATTATAATTTCAAGAAAGTTTGATTAACATGTTTATTTTTTTATTTTATTTACATCATTTCAGTTGAGTTTGTCTATATAAATCTGGTGTCCACATATACATTATTGAGATGGTGTCGATATGATTTATTTAAAGTAGACTACTTTAGTGAATCTATCTCAATCGGTGTCTCTTATTATCTTGGGAGTTTATATAGGCAGTAACTGATCACTCCAACTTAATTTTGTTTGTGTTGGTGTGTAGCACATTTTTTTTCTCTGAATTTTATGTTGTAGCATTAATTTAGATGAATACTTCTTGTTAATTGGTAACAAATATGAAATAGAACAGAGTTATATGGTTGTCCCCAATCTTTAAGAACTATTTGTTGTTTGTTTCTCTCTTTGACTGTTGACTTTAAATAATGTATTAGTAATGTCACGACTCAAAACGCGTCGTGAGTGTCACCCACATTTATCTTCCTATGTGAGCGAACCAACCAATCTAAACCCCAACATTTCAAACATAATAAATAGAAAACAATGCGGAAGACTTAAAACTCATTAACAAAATCAATAATCAACTTCTAAAACTCAAAAATTATCATTATCCCCAAAATCTTGAAGTCATCATCACAAGACATCTATCCACAAATTACTAATCTAAGAGTATCTAAGAAGCTAAAATAAGTAAAAAGCTAGTCCATGCCGGAAGTTCAAGTCATCAAGACATGAAAAAGAAGATCCAGTCCAAGTTAGAAGCATTAGCTCACCCTGAAATCTGGTGTGACGAAGACTGGCTAGAGTTGTGGTTGAGTTGAAGATGACGGTACGTTTGCTGCACTCCACAAATAACAAAGGAAGATAATTACAAGTAGGGGTCAGTACAAACACAAGTACTGAATAGATATCATCGGCCAACTCAAATAGAAACAATATATATCAAATAATATCATAAATTCAACTACAATACTCAACATGCGGCAATTTACAAGTACCATAACCCTTGGTCACAACACCAAGCACATCAATGAGGACTCACGCCTCCCCATTATACTCATTTGGGATATAGGTTCTTTTAATTCGAATTTATTAACATAATTTCAAGATTCATTATCTTTATTCCTCTTGTATCGGTACGTGACACTCCGATCCCCTAATTCTACGTGTCGGTTCGTGACACCCGATCCCCTAATTCTACGTGTTGGTTCGTGACACCCGATCCCCTAATTTCTACGTGTCGGTTCGTGACACCCGATCCCCTAATTCTGCGTGTCGGTTCGTGACACCCGATCCCCTAATTCTACGTGTCGGTTCGTGACACCCGATCCCCTAATTCTACGTGTCGGTTCGTGACACCCGATCCCCTAATTCTACGTGTCGGTTCATGACACCCGCTCCACTAATCTAATTCTATTAATTCATCAAGCCTTCTTTATACCAAAGCATCATCAATCTCATTACTTTAGTTCATCAAGCCTTCTCTTATACCAAGGCATCATCAATCTCATTACTTTAGTTCATCAAGCCTTCTTTTATAAGAAGGCATTATCAATCTCATTACTTTAGTTCATCAAGCCTTCTTTTATACCAAGGCATCATCATTAACAAGGTAAATTTAGGATTAGAGATTCAATAGACTCATCATGCTTATTCATCACAATTATATAATCACATCATGTAAGCACACAATTAAGCATATAGAAGGTTTTATAATACGACCCAACACATATCATTTGCTATTAAGAGTCTACTACGAATAGCATAAAAACCATAACCTACCTCCACCGAAGA